ACTATTTCTACAGACTATATCTGTAAGCTTATATGTGCTTAGACTATTTCTACAGAAACCCATATTGCAAAGCTGTCAATATTAGAGGAGCTCAGCACTACAGATTTACTGCCTTCCATGCTGCTAAGAACGATAACTTGATTTAGTTCAGCCTGTATGATCTCTTGTCAGGGGGTGAATAAGGAAGGTGGAATAAATCATTCTTACAATTAAATAGTTCACTGAAGTTTTCCAATACTTTCCTAGTCATCCTCTCCTGGAAGTCATATTATCTCCATATCTCCATACTTAAAGTGGAATATCCTATCAGGTTCCCATATGAAACTGAATAGGCATAAATTTATAACAAGAAAATAAAGGAAACCATATGTATACCAGCAAATCACACATACACACATGCATAAACACATATGACCTTAAATCTGTAGAGATACAAAATATATACACACACATGTATGCATATATGTATGTACGTATAGCATCTCCTCTCTGTTTCCAAGCTACATATATAAGTTAGGGAGACTAATGGATTCTCTTGCTTGTGTTGAAGCCGCTGCTCAAGGGTTACCCTGCAAGCACCCTGGAAGAAGTAAGCTGCATGGTTTGAACAAGCAGACTCTAAAATATTCCAACAGAAGAAAGCCTCACACTCCATGGTTTCGATATGAAAATTCAGTCTGGTTGAGAGTCTCAGCTCCAGTATAAGTTTGGTTAAGTTGAACATACATGAGACAGAGGTGGTAATCTGTCATACACTGACTCTCAGAGGGTTAGTCACCACGAATAAAGCAGTGAGAAGTGAAGGAGGGCAGGCAAATAAAACTACAGTGATCTACTGAACAGAAGAAGGGCTTGGAACACAAAATGGGAAAGAATTACTTCTGTTATAATTACAATACTTTCAATTATATATATTCAATGAAAAATAAACTATTAGAGAGAGAGTAAAATACTTCCAATTAATGGAAGTAATGTAATGTTCAAACTTAAATGAAGTATTTTTCCCTTGAGGATTTTACTGTACTATTTTATTTAGCTTAATGTAATTTAAATTATAAACAGAATGGTTTTGTAAGCCCCCAGAGAAATGTATTTTATTTATAATGTATTTCCTTTGAAGTGGTTATGGAAATCATGCTCTTCCTGAAATCTGTATCTTGCATACCACCTACTGCTGCAAACTATTCAGTCCTCACAAGTTAAACATGATCAATCTGGTGAAGTATGTGACAAGAAAACCCAATATTTTTTTAAAATGCCAGAGGAAGTAGAAATTTGTAATTCTGAAAACAGTCTTCCTTCCAAAAAGAGGTATTGAAAGATCTTTGTCGATAAAAGTTATGTTTTTTTCAGAAGGAATGGAACTCAGCCATAATAACTCCACTTGAGTTTTTAATTCATGTAATGAAAGAAGAATTTATACTATACTCTAGAGGGAGTTTCATCTGAGAGTAATTGTATTTTGTATACTTAAATTTAAATACATAAATATTTCTGTCCTTCATTTAAATACAGATCCTTAAAAATAATAATTCTAGTACAGAAAGTATATCTCTTGCAGGATGCAAATTACAAATGACCTGTTTATGTCACCTTTTTTTCCTCCACATAATTAAAATTATTTATGAATAAATAAGCAACCATGAATAAATAAACCAAACCCCAGTCTATGTACTCACCTCACCATCAATAGCTACTGCACAGACTCAGTTAAATAACTAGAGACAAAATGGAAGTTGTCTCTAGAAAATTACTTTTGGCTATTAATTATCTTTTTAAAGCATAATAGTACTCTATCCTCATGGATAAACCGCTAGCTCAACACACCAGCCATAGATATACAATGGTCTAAGCTGTGATGCTTCTGAAGTAACGTCAAGCCAAGCCACTTCAAAGGGACTAGGCAAATAAACACTATAAAATTTGGCTGATTGTGCAACTGCTTACAGCATGAACTCATGACAGCCATAGTCACAAACTACATATGCTTTGAATTGGTTATTCTTTCTGTCAAAGCTACTCTTCTGCTCTAACCTACTACCAAATCTATGAGTAAATAAATAAATAAATAGAAAAATTAAAAGTAAATAAAAAATGAAAATATACATTCTCATTAGCTTTGGATTAAGATCTTGATTCATTTGTAAGGGATAATGTATAGGAGCAAATATTTCTGTGTCACTACTCTATAAAACAAACATTAATGCTCTGGAGTTAAACTTCTGATTGAGTTAGTAGACTTTATCAATACCACAAAGTTTCAGGTAGATATTTAAATGTAAAAAAAATCTTTTAAGCACATCTATAACTATACAAAACAAATATGAATGCATTTTAACACTTTTTTTTTTTTTCTTTTTTATGTACTGCTGTACAAACCTAAGAAAAGACATTTCCTCTGTCTCTTCTTAGATCAGACATTATCTAGTTCACACTTGAAAGTTACATCAATTGCATTAAGAATTCTAATACAAGGTGTTAGAATAAACATTTTGTATTAGAAAGCCGACCTGCACCAGGACCTTCGCCAACATCTATACTTTGCTAAAAGCTATTAAAGCACAAGTGTTTCCTGTGTTAAATGACAAATATAGGTCATAGTGACCATTACCCTTGCATCTGAGGAAATATTTTAAAATTCTGACAGCCCAAACAAGCCTAGCTAATGTACCTTTGCTAAGCAAAATGATGCTGCTCCTTTTGACTCATGTAATGTGTTCAGATGAACTGACAAGTTCTGTTCAGTGTGCTGCACATTTGTGGGTATTAAAGCAGATTATTTTATTATTTCTTTAGATATATATACAATGCCTTAAGAAGTAGCATGACAGTGTAGTGTAAATCTAAAGCAATCCATTAGATTTATTTGCATGAATGGCTTTCTTGTTAATTTAATATCAGAAAAAAAAATAAAAATCTGTGTTTCTGAAAACATTTTGACTCTATATCTTGTAGATGGATTACATGGTTTTGTGCTTTAACCATTTAATTTTTGCTCACTCTTTCCTCACTGTCACATCAGACTCTAAGTGACAAGTATTACATATTTGTACAAGAAGATATGGACGGTAACAAAATTTGCAGAAGTTAATTATATAAATTCAGATATTTTCTTTGTTACTTTCCTTTTAGGCTAAAACTGAACACAATTCAATTCCAGTTCCTTTGGGGTACACTGAATTTTGGCACCCATTAAAAAATTTCCTTCCAAGGAATAGTTGTGCCACTAATACCTACAGAAAAGACAGTAGTCTCCTCAGAGTCAATATTGTCTTCAGCATAATAAATGTCTTTTGGGATTGCTTTCCTGCTCATCAGTTACAACTGGGGCAGGTTTTGGATAATCACAACAGGGAACATGAATCTCTTCTTCAATCTAGAGCTAGCAACCCACTAATGAATAGTGACAATTTCAATTTGACTACTAAAGCAGAAAATGTGTTTTCTGTACTTTATTCATAGAAAATCTGATATCTGAAAAAAAAAAAAAACCAAAACAAAACAACCCAAAACCCATACAAAAACCCCAAACACACAACCTTTCACCTTACACAAAATACCTGAAAAAAAAATTCTAGGTAAAGCTGGAATATTGTCAACACAACATGAAAGGCAAAAACAACTGTAACTGAATATGGTCCACTGTGTAACAGTGTGCAAGATACAATTGTCCTAATTTCAGGACATGAAAGCAGGGGTAAACATTGTGTTGGGATTCATCTGAGATAACTGTTTTTAGCATTGAAGCCATAAAAATTCAGCCAGTGTGCTATGAAAATGCTTTCCTGAGATGACTTGGTTAGAAGCTTTCTCCAGACAGAACTGAGTGGTTGAAATCTCAAGACATTCCAGAAGGAACCACAATAAACTTTCAGTACCTCAGTCCCTAAAGCAAGTATGTAAGGGAGAGCTTTTTTAATGTGTAAGGAGAGTGTCAGCATGTGTGATTACAGTCCATCTAAACCACAGATACATATCCATGTTTACAGTTAAATTTCCACAATATTACAAATGCAAACCAAGGTGGAAGGTTTACAGAAATGTGTAAGGAATGTAAAAGAAACACCAGCTATAAGACAGACATAAACACTGCAACCTACCAATTCATGCCACCACAACTGAGACATAAAACAGCATAACATACAAGAGAGAAATCATTTGAGTGATAATGAATGCTGGCAGTTTCATCAGAACAATTTACTTATTTGTCTAGGTTCACTCTCACAGAGGGAAATGACTTCTTGAAACTAAACTGAGCTAGCCTATCAAAACCAGAAGGGAAAACACACTTTTGAAGAAACTAAATTTAACTTGTTAGATTCTCACCTCTACTATAGAAAGACTGAATTATTCTGCAGGGAAATCCTGGAGGTGAAATATCAGCTACAATTTTTTTTGTGTCTGAAACTTACAGAAAACTTGAAGGTTTGTGCAGAAGCTCAAGATGATCAACAGGAATAACCTGAAGGCATCTTTCTTCTGATTACCAGTATCATCGCACTGCTCTACTCTTCTTAAGACAAGCACAGAGGTTCAGCCTAGCTCTTACCCAGACTAACTCTTATTCTGCTAGCTGTGCAGTTGTAATAACAAGAAGCTCCAGATCTGCCAACTGCTTGAGAATTTATTCTATTTCTCTGCCAGGTTTTATACCTAAACTGAAATTTTCACCACTGCAGCTGCTATTTAAGTTAGCTCAGGTACACCTATGGGAATGACATGTATAAAAGTGTTGCTAGCACTCACAGAACTTAAAATAGATGTGTCAAGGAGACCAAACACATATGATGGTCTACAATTGTGTGTCTGTTATTGATAGAACACATGGCAAAGTTAGAGGCCCTTAATAAATGATCTTGTAGTCCATAAATTCCAAAAGATCCTGACTTTGCAAAGTTACAAATGCAAACCAAGCACGCCAAAAATTAGCTGTTTCCCGATATGCTGAATACTTGGAAAGATATAATGTGAATATCTGTGTTTCTTTGAATTTTACCTACATGGTCCAGTGAGGAACATCAAAGCAGCTGGTTGGATCAGGCACTGTGTAGTTCTGCGAACTCCTCTTTTGGAAACAAAACTGGTAGTGTGTCAGCATGTAGGCTGTGAACAAAACAGAAGATGTAAGAAAAATTATTAAAATAGATTATAGACACATGGGGCAGGACAGATATATAAACCAAAAGGCCTCCTTTGGACCAAGAGAAGACTCTATTAAGTATTAACACTTCTATCTTTTTCTCTTTTTTTTTCTTTTTCTTTTTCTTTTTCTTTTTCTTTTTCTTTTTCTTTTTCTTTTTCTTTTTCTTTTTCTTTTTCTTTTTCTTTCTTTTTCTTTCTTTTTCTTTTTTAAATCTTAGAGACCCAGCTGAAAATAGAACAACTCAAGCATGCATGGATCACAGATCTGGAGCAGTGGCAATAAGATGGTACTGACAAGCCTTTGGGCTGCTCATATCTAACCCCAAAGGGCTGTGTATGATCACAGTATTTTCAGATGACTTTTCAAACCCAATGACCAAATTGGAGTGAAGATAACAATTTCTTCAAGACAGCACAACTAAGTCTGCAGCTGAATCAGCAAGGGAGCTTGGCTGGCTTGTGCCTGGAAATTGGCACCTCCGGGCACAGAGATGGGATGCTGAGCCTGTCCAGACCACAGAAGCAACTCAACACAGGGGCAGAACTAAAAACTGGGCTCTCCTTTTCTTCACCAAATTATGCAGTCTCTCAAGGTAACCAATTTAGAAAGCTGGTTTAGAATATTGATTTTCATGTAAAAAATGTCATAAGCTAGAAAAATAAAACCCCTAATATATTCCATACCTTATATTTTCAGTTACATTTAATATATTGTTGCTTTTAAAAGTTAACACAACTACGGAGGAAGTAAAAATATCAATAATTAAAACCTAAACAACATACTTTCCTCTGCAAAAGTTGTAAATTCCTGAAGTCTGAAGCATTGGAGGAGAATTAGCCACTGACTACCATGTTCCACTTCATTAAATGTAATTAGTATCAAGTGGAACCCTGTGCCATTATTATCTCACTTATTGCAGGCCACTGTAGCTTAATGCTTCAAGACCCCTTTGAATAACTTAAACACAGAAGAGTGATTCTGAATCAACAGATGCTCCACGTGTTTACCCAGTGTCTCAGCCTTTACCAGCATGCCAAGGGTTTTCACTCCCAGGTGTTATAAAAAGGAGGCAGCAGACCAGAGAGAACACACTGGCTATGATGAATGCTCAGTTTCCCAGGAGAAAAACCACAAACCAAAACAAGTCTGAGAATATTAACAAACAAAACTGAGAATATATATTCCAGTCCATTTTCAGAATTGAAGAGAATACATGTTTACTACCCATGTACATTGCTGCACGTCAACACAGCACCTCTAACACAGCTCTGATATACCATTCATTAATCATGAAGGTCTCTCCCTCTTCTGGTAAAACACCCTCCTGGAAGACAGCCATTCTTTCCACTAATGCTGCACAGCCAAGAAGCACAATGCGTTAGAGTGGAAATGAATCGGAACACACGATCACACCAAATGAAGACAAGAGAGGCTGTATTTGCGAGAATGAGTGGAAAGGAAGCAGATCAGATAAAATACAGCCAGAAAAGAAGGAATACGCGTTATTTGTCTTACAAACAGTGCCATACAGTTCTTAACTGGAAGGAGCCCGAGCACGTCAGTGTGGCAAACCCTTTCATAAGAGCAAGTTTTGATACCCTCTCAGCCCAGATCAACGTTTAGATGAGAAACAATCACTCCAAACCCACTTCCTGAAGCATTTCTTTTCCTAGGCATGTCTTTGCCGAGCCATTACACCGCTACTCAGATGCTCTGCTTCTGCCAGTGCTCCCAGACAAACAATGCACAGGAAATGCAGCACAAGGAAATGCGTCTGCACTGATGGTCACCGAAGCAAAGGAAGCAAAATTGTCTCAGAAAGAGGCAAGGAGCAGTCAGGCAGCTCCTGCGCATCATTTAACAGCCTCCTGCCTGGAAAGGGCTTTCACTCTGTAAAGTGACACAGAAGCTCCGCAAGGACATTGTGGAGTCTGGTGGGAGAACTCCACCTTTTAGCTCAGGAAGGATGGTTCCAGACTTTTCAAAACAGCAGCTCTGGTTTCAGTTCTTCACTCCACTGATGCTTCAGTGAATCCACACCTTACTAATTCACTCATCTATTAAAACTACAATTTGCACAGCATGTACCAATCATTTAACAGAGGTCCTTAAAGGTCCTTGGTGGAACTTACATACTGTCACCCATGAAAAAACAGTGAGAATTACACTTAAAACACTTCAAAAGTTAATTGTTCAATTATTTTTATACAGAAAGAACAAAGGATGAAACACGTCTCATTCACACTATCAATGTGGAAAAATAATTTTTAAAAATCTGCTTCATGACCAAAGCCAGTTTTAAGTCACTGCAGTTTTAAGCTGCAAAACAATTGAAAAGGGAAGCGTCTTTTTAGTTAGTTGAGCCTCCTTTTAGTTGAGGAATTAGTTTCTGGCAATTAAAACTGGAATTTTAATAATGGTTAATAATTTTCCTCTTATCAAGTTATTATGTTTTTAGCTAGCAATAAACGAATTCATTATTAAATTAGCTTTTCAAGCTATTTTCAATAAAGAAATTTCTTCCCAGTAATTTTCTGCTACATTTTAATTTCATGCCATTGCTATCAAGAATCCAGTTTTACTCCCCTAACAACAGAGGTTGTGACTCAGAGTTTTGGAATTCATTGCCCTAATTTACAATAAACTAAGACTTCTCAAACAAGCTTGTGTTGTTTGTATATTCAGCTACAAAACTAACAAACTCTGCTCTTTATGAAAAGCAATCAAAACCACTTGACAATTCAGCTTGTGCAGAACATCAAGGTCCATTTGAAGTAATAATGTCAAAGTTTTATCCCCACACATCTTTCTACCTTGGTTCAATTTGATTCTATTAGAAAAGTGACAAAGGCTGTTATCTGACACAAAGCATCTGGAGGTAGATGCTTATAGTTAATGTGAGGGTGGATCTGTAATAAACATCACAAACCGCAGTTTCTAACCCCTTAAATACCTGGGATAAAATCAGGGAAGATGGAAACTTGTTTGATTTGTATTTTACACCTAGGAAACAATGGTTTGAACCATTCTTCTCTGCTGATACAGTTCATTAGTCCTTTATTCTTTCTGGGACACTTGTCCAAAAGCAAGACCTCCCTGAAACCCCACACCAGTTACCAGCATGAGTCCTGGTTTTATTTAAGCCAACATCAGCCACCTCCAACCCAAATGCTAGAAAATTTCATTTGTGGGGTGCTTCTAGGCATGGGCACTTGATCTGTGCTATTAAATTGTGAGATCAGTCACTGCAGGATTTCATTTTAGGCATCGTTTGGGAAGCAGCACAACTAAGGAACTTGTGTTAGGCTCTGCACATGTGGGCACACTACAGAGAGGAGAGGACTGAGATTTGAGGTATTACAAATACATCTGAGATTATGATACTTTAAAAGATGCTGCTGCCTAGACAGCTGGGTGCTCTGGGTTCCAGGCACATAACTGAAGATCACGTTATGACTTTTATGATTCCTTTACTATACTCATAATAATCCCTATTTAAAGCGAGAAGTGCATCTCAGTGCTGCCTTTAGCTTTTTATATATTCTTGATAAAAACTCACTTGAGACTGGACTGTCAGAAAGGACTTTAAATAAGAGAACTACTTCTGTGGAAAGCAATTCAGGATACAGTAATTTCTGCTTTGTTTGCTTGATAAAATGATTCTTCACAGATTGACTCTACACTGAGGAATTGAATTCCTGTGTTTTTATATAGAGGTGTATCACAAAGAACGTTTCTCACTATCAGAAATAAATTTCACAGACTGATAAAACTTCATACATAATAAAGTGGGTATTTCACAGAATCACAGAATTGTCTAGGTTGGAAAAGACCTTGAAGATCATCCAGTCCAATAATTTACCTAACACTGACAGTTCCCAACTACACCATATCCCTCAGCGCTATGTCAACCCAACTTAAACACCTCCAGGGATGGGGACACCACCCCTGCCCTGGGCAGCCCATACCAATGCCTAACAACCCCTTCTGGAAAGAAATGCTTCCTAATATCTAGTCTAAACCTTCCCTTGTGCAACTTGAAGCCATTACCTCTTGTCCTATCACTTGTTACTTGGCTAAAAAGACTCATCCCCAGCTCTCTGCAACCTCCTTTCAGGTAGCTGTAGAAGGTGATGAGGTCTCCCCTCAGCCTCCTCTTCTCCAGACTAAACACCCCCAGTTCCCTCAGCCGCTCCT